ACACACACACACACACACACACACACACACACACACACACACACACACACACACACACACACACACACCATGTATATACAATGTTCAACTTCTGCAGCCGGAGACGCCGGAGTAGCCAGCGCCAGCCAATCAAATCCCGTTTCTGAAAATCTGACAGCTCAAGCCCTAGCCAATCAAACCGCGTCTAAGCTGGGAGAGATATCCCGCCGTTCATTTCTATATCTCATTTGTATGTCCGGGGCGGGACATTCATGCGATTGGTTGTTGGTCGCGGTGCTCGAATAAAATCCCCAAGCTTCAGACACGCCCAGCTCCAAGCTTTTTTTGAAGCTGTAGTGTGGACGGGCCATAACCCTAACCAAGTCTTCACCATAAAATTAATGATTCCCCTCATGGGGACCTCCATTTTGTCCCCATAAGGGAGGCGAGTCCCCACACGTGACTGTGTGAAGTGAACAGATTTAGGTCCCCACAAGTATAGTAATGCCAGGCCACACACACCATAGGAGAATGCTGTTTTTCTTAGGGAGAGAGAGAGAGAGAGAGATAGAGAGAGAGTGACCAGTTGGCATTTGTGAGAAACCACATGCACCTGGAGTGGGGTTAAATGTCAAGCCCTCTACCCTCCACACGCACATAGGCACAACCCAACTTATACACGCACACACTCACACACACACTTTCCCCTCGTTTGGGCTTATACTGTAGAGGTCAGACAGGTTTTCTCAGTTGGCGTGCCCGCAAGCTAAGTGCCGCTCCATCCGGCTGAATGAGGTGAGATCTCTGAGGGAACATGATACCTTCTGAGGAGGAATTAGCACTGCTGTTCCCTCGAGCTGTTGTTCATACCAGCTCCTAGTGTGTCAAAGAGGGAGGGAGATATTCATACTCACACAGTTTTCCATTTTCATCTTTTAAATATGACATTGAGGAAGAGTCAAAAGTCCTTATGTGTGAAAGCACAATCTATTGCTCTTGGTTTGAGTAACACACCATTGTTAATCTTCTGTCTTTGCATCTTTCAGGGTCTCCTGTGTATTCTGTGGCCTGGGGTCCAGACTCAGACAGAATCCTCTACACCTCAGGGAGGCAGCTAGTCATCAAGCCTTTGCAACCCAGTGCCAAAGTCATACAGGTACACCATTTTTTTTATGTACTCTCTCAATAGGTATAGATATGTGACTAAAACTAAATGTTCACTTAAGATTTTATATGTCAGGGTTTTAGAATATAACCATGTTACTGAAACTTGTTTTTAATCTCGCGTTTGTATAGCAATAGCTTGACCTGCCTGAGTACCTGACATCACTGGACCCTTTACCTATTTTCAGGTCTTTGTAAATTAAACTAGAGGTTTATTGATTTGTATTACAAAGGCTAAATTAAAGACAATAGATCTATGAGTCTTTGAGTGCTGTTGTACTAGGGAGGGGGAAGCACTGACAACCTGGAACACCAGTAAGGATTTTCCTGGTTCACATATACATTTTTATATTATTATTTTTGATTCTGGACACCTCCTGGGACCTTATATAATAATAATAATAATAATAATAATAATAGTACATGTTATTTATATAGCGCTCTTCCTTGTGCTCAAAGCGCTTAAGTTGAGGGTCTCTATGTGCTTCTTTTAAACCTTTTGCTCTCTCGTACCTTTACTGTATGACACGCGGGCACAAGCACACACATCACCTCCAGTGATGCTAGTTCAACCTTTGTTGGCTTTATTTGAAATGGGTTAACATGGGTTAAGAATGACCTGGTTTGGGTATCTGATAAGATAGGGTTGAGACAAACTGGACTCTCCAAAGGATCTTCTTTGATCTCTGCAATCCCTTACAAAGACATAGAAACACACAACAAACAAATGCATGTGTTTACGTGGATTTCCTTTTTAATACATCGAATGAGCAAGTAAGGTACTATAGATAAATGATGGAGCGTAGGCATGGAAAGGGAACAGGAACAAGAAAGGCACATAGTCTAAGAACAACAATAATGCTACTCTCTGGAGCTTATCCTGCTCATCTTAAGTTTTTCTCTCTTGACTTGGTACAATTAGAGGGTTTCATTGCCCCCCACTGCTCTTCAACATAAGTAAGAAGTTATGTATGCATAGCATCCTTATGTTGTGTTGGAATAAAATGCTCTCTCTCCCCTCCCTTTAGTGGAAGGCCCATGATGGGGTTGTTCTGAAGGTGGACTGGAATTCAGTTAATGACCTCATATTGTCAGGTGGAGAAGACTGCAAATATAAGGTGGGCAGTGTTTGCGTTTATATTATTTTAAGATATATATTGTTTTTTTTTTAACTTTTTCAAACCATATACTCCCTTATCAGGTGTGGGACAGCTTTGGCCGTGTGCTTTACTCGTCGTCGTCTCATGACTACCCAGTCACCTCTTTGTCCTGGGCTCCAGATGGAGAGTTGTTCGCTGTGGGCTCCTTCAACACCCTGCGGCTCTGTGACAAGACTGGAGTAAGAAAAAAGTGTATTATATATATATATATATATATACCTTATTTCTAAATTGTGTCCCCTCATACAGTAAGACGTCAGGCATTGGCAGTATAAACTATTACATGCTGTATATAAATAAGTACACACAAGTGCTCTTGTATTAACAGAAACAATTAGTCTTCCGCGGTCTTACTCACTTGAACGAGGACTGTCAAAATGGTGATGTCAATTTTTACACCATCTAAGGTGGCATCATTTCAGTTGTATGTGTTTCCACTTTGGTAAAAGTTCTTCTTGTAAGTTGTGCAGATGCAGGTTTTTACAGGGCCATACACTCTGTCAGATCAGCCTGTTGGATGGTTGAATTTCTTTGGAAACCCTTGCCACCCCTCATAATCCCCTCCGGCCTTTAGGTTAGGAGGAGGTGTGTCCATTTTATAACTTTCTGGAAAGTTCTGCATATTGCAATTCTCTGTTTTGTATATTGTATTTCTCTCATCTGCCAATATGACATTATGCTTTGAAGTCAGTTAAAGGTCCCATGTCATGCTTTTCCGGTTATTACCCGTCCCCTTGTGTGTT